ATGACACAATATTATCAAACTCAAGCACAGGACAATTAAAGTGTTTATTACACCTATGTAACACATCAAAATTGTAGGCGGTGGAAGTAACTGTACAAGAGACTTATTTAGTGAAAGTTATCAAAAATTATTTCTACAAATTTGATCAAATATGATGTTTGTATCACAGCTTGCTTTCATAACAACTAAGTCCACATCGTTATGATGATTTAGTAGTTAATATTGCAACAAAGAAGCACGGGATCAGAAGCCTTCATAACTGATGATTCGTGTGTGTAAGTATTTTAATTTCCATATTTAAGCTATTGTGAAAATAAAACTTGAAAAATAGTTAAACAATTTCTTATTTTAATTAAAAACACAATAGTATTACATGACAGGAAGAATATCACAGTTTTGACATATAAGTCAATCTTGTGTTTGTTGTTTTATTCAATAACGGTATATCACAATGAAAAAAAAATACAAATATATGTATCAAATACTTTTGACTTCTGGATTCTGAGGTTATTTCTGGAAACTACAGTGTAGTAGATGAACAGACAACTCCTATGAATGATTGAATTAATTGTTCAATGATTAAATCAATCAGCTAATCTAACACACAAAATAAATAAATATTTCTTATATACTGCAAAGAAAGTTCTCTTACATAACTAAATATAAAACATAGATGTAATACTAAATGTATTACTTAGATATAATACTAAATGTATCACATAAATATAATACTAAATGTATTACATAGATATAATACTAAATGTATTACATAGATATAATACTAAATGTATAACATAAGTATAATACAAAATGTATTACATAGATATAATACTAAATGTATTACATATATATAATACTAAATGTATCGCATAGATATAATACTAAATGTTTTACATATATATAATACTAAATGTATCGCATAAATATAATACTAAATGTATTACATAGATATGATACTAAATGTATCACATATATATAATACTAAATGTATCACATAGATATAATACTAAATGTATTACATAGATATAATACTAAATGTATTACATAGATATAATACTAAATGTATCACATATATATAATACTAAATGTATCACATAAATATAATACTAAATGTATCACATAGATATAATACTAAATGTATTACATAGATATAATACTAAATGTATTACATAAATATAATACAAAATGTATTACATAGATATAATACTAAATGTATAACATATATATAATACTAAATGTATCGCATAAATATAATACTAAATGTATTACATATATATCATACTAAATGTATTACATAAATATCATACTAAATGTATTACATAGATATAATACTAAATGTATCACATAGATATAATACTAAATCTATTACATAAATATCATTCTAAATGTATTACATAGATATAATACTAAATGTATTACATATATATAATACTAAATGTATCACATAGATATAATACTAAATGTATTACAAAAATATCATACTAAATGTATTACATAGATATAATACTAAATGTATTACATATATATAATACTAAATGTATCACATAGATATAATACTAAATGTATCACATAGATATACTACTAAATGTACTACATAGATATAATACTAAATGTATTACATAGATATAATACTAAATGTATTACATAGATGTAATACTAAATGTATTACATTGATATAATACTAAATATATTACATAGATATAATACTAAATGTATTACATATATATAATACTAAATGTATCACATAGATATAATACTAAATGTATCACATAGATATACTACTAAATGTACTACATAGATATAATACTAAATGTATTACATAGATATAATACTAAATGTATCACATAGATATAATACTAAATGTATTACATAGATGTAATACTAAATGTATTACATTGATTTGCATTAAGAGGCATATACAGATTCATACTTAGAGAAATGGTTTGATTTCAACCAAGATTAGCTAAACCAAACTTGGTCGAAACCAAACCATTTCTAGCACAGTTGTTGCATGGAAATCAGTTAATTAATAAGAACAAACTTAGCTCCTTTATTGTGTATAAATATACAATCATCACATAGGTTATCAAATTTAGCCATGCAGATACATCATTAGTACGAGCATACCAAATTTGGTTGAAATAGACTTGTTTAGGGCAGCAACTGAATTTTAACTTAGCATGACAAATGGACAGACATGCAAAAAATAGTATCTCACATTCTCACTGATAATCAGGGCATAACTACAACTGTCAGCTACAGATCAACCGAATCAGAAACAGACACTAACTCCTAAAAATGTAGTTGAATCAAAAAAATAAAACTCAATCATGCATCTACCTAACATCCAGACATATGAACTAAATTTCCCATATATAAGTAGCAATGCTTGGGGGAAAAAATATTATAAGAAAATCAGAAAGGGGCATAACTCCTATCGAAATAATCAAAATTACTTACAAGCACACAACTAACCTACAGTATTGATCAAGTGTATGTAGGTTCATATATACTGCCCAAGAAAAAAAGTACCAGGGCATACTGGAATTTCTGAACAAATTTCTGAAAGGATATCAGAAGGAGATGCATAACTCTTTAAGATAACCTACTGCAAAACTACCTTAGGTACTGATTAATTGCACATAAAACTGGTTTAGAGGGTAAGCAGCAATTTGTTGCACAAGCTTCCATCCAAAGATGGACAGACAGATAACCACCCTGATCTAGTATATCACACTCCAACTTATACAGAGGTGTAAAAATATTCACATGGCAAGCAATCGGTCAACACATATGCTAAATTATATGAAGCTTGCATACCTACACATACATGTAATTAATTTATTTTTTTGGCTAAATAAATCCATGTTCACATCTATGACCTGCAACTTGTCCTTGTGGTGGAATGTAAAGAATGAATAACAATGTGTGGCTAATATTTTGAAGTTAAATGATACTTAAAAATGTATGAGAAAAGATTGAACACCTGTGGTTCCTCGAAGAGAGACACCATGATTTCCTCACTTTCAGCCTGGATACCCAAACATCACTGATAATATCTCATGGTCTGAGTTAACTACAAATGTACCTGGATACCCAAACAGTACTGATAATATCCAATGGTCTGAGTTAACTACAAATGTACCTGGATACCCAAACAGTACTGATAATATCCAATGGACTGAGTTAACTACCTGGATACCCAAACAGTAATGATAATATCCAATGGTCTGAGTTAACTACAAATGTACCTGGATACCCAAACAGTACTGATAATATCCAATGGACTGAGTTAACTACCTGGATACCCAAACAGTACTGATAATATCCAATGGTCTGAGTTAACTACCTGGATACCCAAACAGTACTGATAATAATCAATGGTCTGAGTTAACAACCTGATTACCCAAACAGTACTGATAATATCCGATGGTCTGAGTTAACTACCTGGATACCCAAACAGTACTGATAATATCCAATGGTCTGAGTTAACTACCTGGATACCCAAACAGTACTGATAATAATCAATGGTCTGAGTTAACTACCTGATTACCCAAACAGTACTGATAATATCCAATGGTCCGATTTAACTACCTTAAATTGATGAACTATATGACCAATCTTTAATTTCTATCTTTAGTCACAATATAATAACAGAACAGGTGGACGGACAGACAGACAGACAGACAGACTGAAGACACACAATCTAATTACTGTATACCCCCTAGCTTTGTTCCGTCAAACTCCCTAAATCTGAGGGTATTCACTTGTAAATTAGTCCTCATGAAGCCCATGCTGGGCAAAATTGGTTAACAATTATTGACTTAGTACTAACAATTAATTCTGAGACAGGGCCTGTTGTGATCTATACTTCCAAATGTTTGACATCTAACATCATGATTTGTAGGGTAACGGGTCACATTACATGTAATAGTATATAGAAAATCAAGTTAGGGGTGCAGATAATTGTAGAAAAAATTCAGCATTTGTTCATGTTAATATAAGTAAAATTCCATCATCACAGATAATAATTTGTGTTCACATTAGTTTCTGTCTTATATCACAGTTGTAACATTTTAAGGTAACAAATCAACCGTGTCACAACAAATGTCACCACAAATGAACAAACTTTGTAAATGTAGAGAGAAAAAGTTCAAAATCTTGAGTGTCCCATCACAGATGCTCAAGTGTTCAGTGCTTTCCTTGTAGTAGCAACACTGACTAAGTGAACCATGTGTGACTAAGTGAACCATGTGTGACTAAGTGAACCATGTGTGACTAAGTGAACCATGTGGATAAGACCTTTGTGTTTCTGACGTATGGAAATTTAAGGAATCTGTTGGTTCACTGAGAATACCGGTATATCATCAAAATTCAATATGTTTCGAATTAACTTTCGGTAACACAATATTCTCACTTAAAACTGTTTCAGCTGAATATTTTGGTTTGCTGCAATATCTTTTTCACTGTTCAAAGTTTGTTACAATGGGCCATTTTCACTCATAGAATCATAAGACCTGGCTGAAGTTCTCGGCTGCTGTAGGGAACTGTACAAATGCTTTGGCTGAAAAAATTGATGAGTAAAAGTTCTCTTGATGCCAGTTATGATTGGATGGGGCTCTTCTCTGTTTAACGATGGGTGGAAATCAAAGTCGGCTGTTTCTACGTGGGGCTTTCTCTTCATTCGCACGAAATATATAGATGACACAAGGACAATGAAAACACCAAGACAACTGAAGAAGATCGGGATGGCATATCCATGGGAACTGTAGGAATCTGAAATAGACAGGAAAGGTGATACATGTTTATAATGAATCAAACAGGAAAACAACATGACTATATATAAATATACGTATACCCATATTAGCTAGTAACATCAATCTGTAATAAATTAATGTCCAAAATTCACTCAAAATTCCTTATAAACCTCGTTTAAACCAAAAAAAAATGATAAACATCTGATGATCAAATTTCATGTAAAAGATTACCAGTAAACTTCAAGGATACATTGTTTTGAAAACTGTACTGTGAGGGTAAGTTACTGCATTATTGTGTGTATTTTTCATGGACTATGCCTGTAGGTTTTATATGGACTATGCCTGTAGGTTTTATATGGACTATGTCTGTAGGTTTTATATGACTATGCCTGTAGGTTTTATATGACTATGCCTGTAGGTTTTATATGGACTATGCCTGTAGGTTTTATATGGACTATGTCTGTAGGTTTTATATGACTTTGCCTGTAGGTTTTATATGGACTATGCCTGTAGGTTTTATATGTGAATATTTGAATTCAACATTATTTATTGATAATACTTATCAGAGATTATCTGTGGAAGCTTTGAATTTGCGAGGCTTTTTTGATGTACCTCTCATGACAATCAGGTGATGTACCTCTCATGACAATCTGGTGATGTACCTCTCATGACATTTGGGTGATGTACCTCTCATGACAATCAGGTGATGTACCTCTCATGACAATCTGGTGATGTACCTCCCATGACAATCGTGTGATGTACCTCTCATGACAATCAGGTGATGTTCCTCTCATGACAATAATCAGGTGATGTAACTCTCATGACAATCTGGTGATGTACCTCCCATGACAATCGTGTGATGTACCTCTCATGACAATCAGGTGATGTTCCTCTCATGACAATCAGGTGATGTACCTCTCATTACAATCAGGTGATGTACCTCTCAGGACAATCGGGTGATGTACCTCTCATAACAATCAGGTGATGTGCCTCTTATGACAATCGGGTGATGTACCTCTCATGACAATCAGGTGATGTACCTCTCAGGACAATCAGGTGATGTACCTCTCATAACAATCAGGTGATGTACCTCTCATGACAATCGGGTGATGTACCTCTCATGACAATCGGGTGATGTACCTCTCCTGACAATCGGGTGATGTACCTCTCATGACAATCGGGTGATGTACCTCTCATGACAATCGGGTGATGTACCTCTCATGACAATCGGGTGATGTACCTCTCATGACAATCGGGTGATGTACCTCTCATGACAATCGGGTGATGTACCTCTCATGACAATCGGGTGATGTACCTCTCATGACAATCGGGTGATGTACCTCTCATGACAATCGGGTGATGTACCTCTCATGACAATCGGGTGATGTACCTCTCATGACAATCGGGTGATGTACCTCTCATGACAATCGGGTGATGTACCTCTCATGACAATCGGGTGATGTACCTCTCATGACAATCAGGTGATGTACCTCCCATGACAATCGGGTGATGTACCTCTCATGACAATCGGGTGATGTACCTCTCATGACAATCGGGTGATGTACCTCTCATGACAATCGGGTGATGTACCTCTCATGACAATCGGGTGATGTACCTCTCATGACAATCGGGTGATGTACCTCTCATGACAATCGGGTGATGTACCTCTCATGACAATCGGGTGATGTACCTCTCATGACAATCGGGTGATGTACCTCTCATGACAATCGGGTGATGTACCTCTCATGACAATCGGGTGATGTACCTCTCATGACAATCGGGTGATGTACCTCTCATGACAATCGGGTGATGTACCTCTCATGACAATCGGGTGATGTACCTCTCATGACAATCGGGTGATGTACCTCTCATGACAATCGGGTGATGTACCTCTCATGACAATCGGGTGATGTACCTCTCATGACAATCGGGTGATGTACCTCTCATGACAATCGGGTGATGTACCTCTCATGACAATCGGGTGATGTACCTCTCATGACAATCGGTTGATGTACCTCTCATGACAATCGGGTGATGTACCTCTCATGACAATCAGGTGATGTACCTCTCATAACAATCAGGTGATGTACCTCTCATGACAATCGGGTGGATGTACCTCTCATGACAAACGGTTGATGTACCTCTCATGACAATCGGTTGATGTACCTCTCATGACAATTGGGTTGATGTACCTCCCATGACAATCAGGTGATGTACCTCCCATGACAATCAGGTAATGTACCTCTCATGACAATCGGGTGATGTACCTCTCATGACAATCAGGTGATGTACCTCTCATGAAAATCGGGTGATGTACCTCTCATGTCAATCAGGTGATTTAAAGTCATTATAGTGTACCTCTCATGACAATCAGGTAATGTACCTCTCATGACAATCGGGTGATTTACCTCTCATGACAATCGGGTGATTTACCTCTCATGACAATCGGGTGTTGTACCTCTCATGACAATCGGGTGTTGTACCTCTCATGACAATCGGGTGTTGTACCTCTCATGACAATCGGGTGATGCACCTCTCATGACAATCGGGTGATGTTCCTCTCATGACAATCGGTTGATGTGCCTCTCATGACAATCGGTTGATGTGCCTCTCATGACAATCGGTTGATGTCCCTCTCATGACAATTGGGTTGATTTACCTCCCATGACAATCAGGTGATGTACTTCCCATGACAATCAGGTAATGTAACTCTCATGACAATCGGGTGATGTTCCTCTCATGACAATCGGGTGATGTTCCTCTCATGACAATCGGTTGATGTCCCTCTCATGACAATTGGGTTGATGTACCTCCCATGACAATCCTCTCATGACAATCAGGTGATGTACCTCTCATGACAATCAGGTGATTTAAAGTCATTATAGTTATTTATTATTTACTTAGTTATGCATTACAGTCATTTTGACACCAATTAATTACTTTCACATGAAATCTGCAAAACTCAAAATGATATATTAAGAAATTTCATGTGAAAGTAATAAATTCTTAATTTCATAAGTCCATGCACTGTTAAATTGTTTGTATAATTTGAACTATAAACAGTCTACAAATACAGACAAATTTGAAAATATTTTTCTTCAAATTTTTCCAGTACATGGACAATCACATGTTGAAATAGTGAAATCATCATCATCATCATCATCATCATCATCATCATCATCATCATCATCATCATCAAATATCATTAAAAGACCTATAAAGCATGTATCACTCACCTAAGCATTCAAGCAATCATGGGAAATTATTTTTATTAATAGTGATACTACAAATAGTTTGCCATTTTAGGCATTGCCTCACAGTATCAAGGGGTTCAGCACTCCTCTTTCATATATCATTTCATTTCTAGATTGAAATGTTGCTTTATAGGCAAATGTTTGAAACACATACTCAACTGTTTCTGTGTTACAGTGTATATAAATTACACCCCTGGGACTAAGTCATCAAGGGCGAGGCTGACACAAGTACAAATCCTGGTACAGACACTATGATTGTGTTTGTCTCTTCATGTCTACCTATTGTACATTTGGTTGACTGGGTGGAGATCTAAACTGTGGTAAAGGATGTCATCTGTTTGTAAGTTATGACCTGGGGACTAAGTCCCTGAGATGGGGCAGGATGGCAGAGTCAATCCTGGTAGCATGGACGTATTGTTTTTTATGCCTTTTATATGTATGTGGTTATATAATGGGGATCAGAATTGTTTTAAGTAGAAGCTTAACTAACTATTGCCCACCCATCCCCAAGGGTCACCACAGCTTCTCAACAAAAATATGATCACCTTGTCCTATTGACATTTTAAACAAAATACAGTGAACATCTTTGCAACAGTTAAGGAAGAGTACTATTTCACATCAAGAAGCCTTACATTCAGATTTAAGCCCAATTCCATCTGGCATCAGTGGAGCCACATTCCTTGTTCATGTAATGTTGAGTTTTCTTGGCCAAAGGAAGCACCAAACAAAAATTTGTTAATATCTCTTTGCCAATACTGAAATAGTGTTTTCAAGATTTTTCTGCATTTCTTTTAATGAGTCCCACTTCTCTGACCCAAGCAGGGCCAAACCCACCATTTAGGCAACATTTTGAGGTCAAGATAAAGATTGAAATCCCTTCAAATGTACGGAAGGAGAAGGATTTTAAAGTTCTGTATTATTAGCCCTTTGCAGGAAAAGATGATAGAAACTGGCAAAGGATGACAGACCATGGCATTAGCTCACAGGTGCCTACGTATACAGTCAAGGTGAGTCGAAAACAAAAGTGATGATAATTCCTTGGAATCATTGACATCTACAGGCAATAACAAACAATGTATATACTGATATTAAGGAATGACACCTGATATGTACCTGTAGCATAGACGTGTACAACACCTGTCCTATAATGCTGTTGACTGACATCGTTCTCTAGTCTGAAGTGGATATGGTAGAGACCAACACTGGGAAACCCCACCTGAACATCAAACTGCTTCCTGTTTCCTGTCAATGGGGACTCACATGTTGTGTTGCTACAGTAACTGGAATTTTTCTTAGCCTCACACACCTCCCAACAAATTACTGTCGGATTACTGTAAATATAATGTATAAATAGATCAGACTCAATTATCAGACAGAACAACACTTAGTACATATGATGAATAAGTAAAACAAATGATGGAATTAATGAGAAATGTGAAAAAAAGATAGACAATGTCACACTGTATGGATAAACATGTACACGAACTAAGACATGAAAGGCCACACTTTGCTTCAATATAATATGCTCAAAAAATTAAGCACTGAGCAAATAGGTATGAACGTATGTAGCAAGAGTTTGACTATGACATTGAGGAAGGTCTAACGTAGTAACGTTCATGTGATCGTTATTAAAGGAAACTATTTCACTGACCTGGCCTTGTAGAACACAGTCAGATTCAAAAGGTTGTTAACATCTACAGAGGACCTTCCAGACAGGTTCCATTTCACCCCTTGTATAGCATCTGTAACGAGAGATGTTATTGTATAGATATCAACACAATTATCATGTATTCATCAGTTATAACTGGAAACTCGTTATATTACTCTTGCATTTTAAAATGTGTTGTGCATTCAAAAGTCCTCATACAATGAAGTCTGCTAACACAACAGTGACTTTCAAAGTAAATCAAAATCTGTTTCCAGCAACAAAGAGAAGAATCTTCATAAAACTACTTCAAAAATAGCATTATATCACCCTGCTATTATTTACAGGATTTGACAGTCAAATCTGGTAATGCAGGGTTAAAAACGTGTGCCAAAAGATATGAGAAAGCTCTATATGGAGTATGTACTTCATGAGAAACAGAGCCACTTTAACAAACTTTGACCCTGAAATCTAACTTGACTACACGTACCTAGTGGTCATATGATAATTCAATTTCCACACATTAAAGTGATGTTGGCCAGAAGAACAATTTCCACACATTAAAGTGATGTTGAATTGGCCAGAAGAACAATGTCCACACATTAAAGTGATGTTGGCCAGAAGAACAATTTCCACACATTAAAGTAATGTTGGCCAGAAGAACAATTTCCACACATTAAAATGATGTTGGCCGGAAGAACAATTTCCACACATTAAAGTGATGTTGAATTGGACAGAAGAACAATGTCCACACATTAAAGTGATGTTGGACAGAAGAACAATTTCCACACATTAAAGGGATGTTGGCCAGAAGAACAATTTCCACACATTAAAGGGATGTTGGCCAGAAGAACAATTTCCACACATTAAAGTTATGTTGGCCAGAAGAACAATTTCCACACATTAAAATGATGTTGGCCAGAAGAACAATTTCCACACATTCAAGTTATGTTGGCCAGAAGAACAATTTCCACACATTAAAATGATGTTGGCCAGAAGAACAATTTCCACACATTCAAGTTATGTTGGCCAGAAGAACAATTTCCACACATTAAAATGATGTTGGCCAGAAGAACAATTTCCACACATTAAAGGGATGTTGGCCAGAAGAACAATTTCCACACATTAAAATGATGTTGGCCAGAAGAACAATTTCCACACATTCAAGTGATGTTGGCCAGAAGAACAATTTCCACACAATAAAGTGATGTTGGCCAGAAGAACAATTTCCACGCATTAAAATGATGTTGGCCAGAAGAACAATTTCCACACATTCAAGTGATGTTGGCCAGAAGAACAATTTCCACACAATAAAGTGATGTTGGCCAGAAGAACAATTTCCACACATTAAACTGATGTTGGACAGAAGAACAATTTCCACACATTAAAGGGATGTTGGCCAGAAGAACAATTTCCACACATTAAAGTAATGTTGGCCAGAAGAACAATTTCCACACATTAAACTGATGTTGGACAGAAGAACAATTTCCACACATTAAAGTGATGTTGGACAGAAGAACTTAAGATATACAATACTGGAGTCTGTCCAAGACTACCTGTGAAATCACAATAACAACCTTTGTTCCTAAAAACTAAGATTGCCACCTGATTTCCATTTTCCTCCCCAAAATGAAGGTAATAATGCATAGCTGAGACACAATGAGAATCTGAGTACACAATTTTAGAAAGATTTCTAAGAAACAGCTACGGTCATTTAAGGCTGTGCCTCCATGTGTGTAGTGTATGTACATGGTTGCATGTGTGTATGCAGGAGACAGGGTATGTTGGTGTACTTGCCTCCTTGTGAAAGCGCGGATCTGATGCCAACTTTATAGTGCTATCTCACTAAAATACCATGCTGAATGCACCAAGCACAGCATCCCGCTCGGTCACATTATACTGACAATGGATGAACCAGTTGTTGCCATTCCCCTAAATGCTGAACATTAAGCAGGGAATAACAACTACCATTTTTTCTGAACAAGAGTGATAACAAATTTTGTACTGAAAATGCAAGATGGCCACATAGCGGCCAAATTGTTCTTCATATCCACAAACGAAATCTAATTCACACAACTAGAACCAATAGGAACCTGTATACACATTTTGAGATCTGTCCTGTACCTTCGGAGAAATGGCAATTATAAAAATTGTTTACATACAGATGGAATGATGAACGGATAGACAATCACAGACAAAAGATGATGGTGGACTAAATAAGTCACAGGATATTTCGATGCTCCAGTGCTAACAGTTAATTGTATAGAACTAGAGCAGACAGCTGATTGACAGTGGCTTGGACTTTCTGTTGGGACACCATTTTAACAGGCCATAATTTCTTAAGAAATGTTGCGACCCCCTGGATTTTTGTCTTTTTTCCCAACCCCAAAGGACTGCAATTCGTCATGCAACGTCATTCAATAATTCTGTTAATAAATAAAAAAAATGATATATTCTCTTTATGATGTCACTCTAACTGTAACATGCTCTCTGCCAAATGCAGCAATATATTTTTAATGATTTGCTTACAGTCCTTCTTGTTTAATAATAAAAACATCCTAATTTCGTATCTTATATGACAATACAGGACTTTTGTCTAGTCATATCGTGGTTATAAGGTCGACCTGTAGAGTGATATTGTCCTTAACTTCGTAACAATTAATAAGGCTGTTATAAGGTCAACCTGTAGAGTGATATTGTCCTTAACTTCGTAACAATTAATAAGGCTGTTATAAGGTCGACCTGTAGAGTGATATTCACCTTAACTTTGTCACAGTTAATAAGGCTGTTATACAGTCGACCTTAAGAGTGATATTCTCCTTAACTTCGTCACAGTTAATAAGGCTGTTATAAGGTCGACCTGTAGAGTGATATTCACCTTAACTTCGTCTCAGTTAATAAGGCTGTTATAAGGTCGACCTGTAGAGTGATATTTACCTTAACTTTGTCACAGTTAATAAGGCTGTTAAGGTCGACCTGTAGAGTGATATTGTCCTTAACTCCGTCACAGCTAATAAGGCTGTTATACAGTCGACCTTTAGAGTGATATTGTCCTTAACTTTGTCACAGTTAATAAGGATGTTAAGGTCGACCTGTAGAGTGATATTGTCCCTAACTTCGTCACAGTTAATAAGGCTGTTATAAGGACGACCTTTAGAGTGATATTCTCCTTAACTTCGTCACAGTTAATAAGGCTGTTCTACAGTCGACCTTAAGAGTGATATTCTCCTTAACTTTGTCACAGTTAATAAGGCTGTTATAAGGTCGACCTTTAGAGTGATATTGTCCTTAACTTTGTCACAGTTAATAAGGCTGTTAAGGTCGACCTGTAGAGTGATATTGTCCTTAACTTCGTCACAGTTAATAAGGCTGTTATACAGTCGACCTTTAGAGTGATATTCTCCTTAACTTAGTTCTATATAACCACATTTTCACCTCAACAAAAGATCATAATTGATAATCAAACCTGAGGTTATAAAAGGGATAATATCATTGTGTATGGGATAGCTAGAATGAGGTTATCTACAGTAACAGAGACATTATCCTGTGTGACCTGATGAGTGATAAAAATGTTGGTCTGGAGACCAGATAAGATAGATAGGGAAACAATGTGCCTGGTCCAAAGTCTAGACACCGACATAGATGTTGTGGTGTTATCAGTAGTGTTGCTGGTGTACAAATATATACTGGTATATATACTAACATCTTTATCATTCATGCTGTGTTGTTTGTAATAAATGTTCTGGTTTGTGGTCAAACAGAATGTCAGTTACGTCAGAGTTATTCTTAACTGATAACTACACCACATGAGAATTACATGTCACAGACAACTATGCTTCTGTCAATTACACTTCACAGACAACTCTATCTAAGATATATGCTTTCCACAGAAATGTATGGGAATGGGTTGGGACTCTCAATCAATTCCTTACTTTGACAGAAGGATTGATTTCAATGGTATGGTAGGGCATCCAGGCGATCCTGCAAACATGTATTCAAATCTTCACGCTCAACATTTGTATATAATGTCGTATTGTTTGGGGACGGGATCTCAACCGAATGAAACTAATGACCCAGGGACCAAGTTTCCAGGGGTAGGGCTGCATCCTTGGGTAATCCTGGTAGCATATGTGTATTTGTATGTTCATACTGAGCACTTCTATATATATGTACATGTATATATTGTTACAGGATAGGGATCTCAATGGTTGTTTTTGTTACGACCCAGAACGAAGTCCCCAAGGGAGGGAAATATAAGCAAAAGGCTAACCCAGTATATATCTCTTCATGTAAAGCAATTTTATATACTTGTATGGTTATATAGGGTTGGGATCTCAACCATTTTCAACTTACAATTTTTTCTGGTCATATTCCTGACCCTCTTGGGGGTTTGCGCCTTCATTTGCACGTTTTTCATCATCATCTGATGCTTCTGACCAAATATAGTTGATATATATCTCATAGTTCCAGAGAAGAAATCCCTTAATGCAATATTGCCAATGATCCCATTTTAAGACATGCCTCTTAAAGCCTCCATGTGGGTCAGCCCCTCCATTTAAATAATTTTGAATTCAACCACCTGAGAATGCTTCCAAACTGATATAATTGATTTACATATCACAGTTCTAGAGAAGAAGTTGCTTAAAGGAATATGGCCAAATTACCCCTTTCTGTTCAGTCCCTTAAAAATATACATAAATTAAGTTCCATCACATTTGTGGTGTCTCCCTATTTTGGAGGGAAACTAGCTGATTTCTCATCCTCATTTGTGACTGCTGTAATAAGCAGAATACCCTCTATATTTGTTAACTATGTTACATATGATTTTGTATTTTGCAGTGTAATTCTCCCTCATGAACAATTTGAAAAGTTGGGATGTATACACACACACATTGATCCATTAGCTGGTGTGTAAGCATCACTAAATCTGTGATATGTGGTTTGTGAAGTGTAGAGGCACGAGGACAGCCATGTGAGGATTAGCAGCCAGGGTCAAATGGTCAGTTATACATGTTTATGATACACTAAATACACATATCACTACCAATGTTATCTGGATGGCAAAGCTTAGTCTATATACATTGTATTGTAGTATTACAGTAAGAATTATCAGTATCCACTGTTTACAAGCACAATATCACTGCCAAAACATGTATTGTAATTTCAACACTTTAACTGTTTTAACATCTATATGATTTTATGTGTGAGACTTGCTCAAGTTCTTCAAGTCTTTTTTTCAAAAATCATATACTATTCCTTGCGATAAATTTTTACAATGAAGAAAATGTAGAAAAACTGTTTTCAGAAAGTAATTTCACTTTCCATTTTGGTCCAATCATCAACACCTTGCAAAGCCAACAGTTTGGTTTGGTTAAATTTTGTTTAACGTCCTATTAACAGCTTAGGTCATTTAAGGACGTCCTCTATGCGTGTAGTGCATGCGTGCTTGCGTGTGTGTATGCAAACCAAACAGAAACATATATATCATAGTATGTTGATCACGAAATAAAATCTGAATAAACCCAAACGTCACGACGTACCTTTCACCTGTACATCCTCTGACCATTCCCCTTTCTTCTCCACGAACTCATCTTCCAGGCTTGTGCTGACAGAAACAGACAGCTTCTCCATTTTCTCTGCTTTTTTCAATGTAAACACAAATTTTGGTACTGTTGTGTGGCCCAGCAGAGTTTTCCCATTAAACCAATGAAACGAGGATGTTGGTTTGGACTGGAACTTATCAGTCAGGTTCACAGAGAAATCTATTGGAATATTTGTTGCTAGAACTTTTTTATGTTTTTGATAACTTAAACTTTGTTTTAAATCTATTTTTCCATTCAGTAATGCTGAAAAGAAGATAAAAAAAAGTTAATCAAACTGGAATTGCCAAATCTACCTACAAAAGTCAATCTCACCAAAACGTTCATTATATATACAAAGTATACATGCACAAATACAAAAACAGAGAGGCACAGCGTTCAGAACCGGTCGCCTTAATAACAAATTATCTAGCAAGTGTATTCTATCAAACCTGGTGGTCTAGAAGGTAAACAAAGCTATAGTGTATAATATGGCAGGCCGTTCCTTCTAAACCAACAGGGTAAAGCTAGTAGCACCTTATTCAATCTGAAAAACTACTCTAGGGTTACAGAGGAACATATAGAAGGAATATATAGCACACTACACAAATAGAATACAGTTTGTATCTCTACAAGTATAGCTATATAACCATAGGGAGGCCACACTTTTACAGGACATCTGCACTAATGAGTCTAAAACATCAAATACAGAAGGGCTGTTCCATTTAGTGCCTTGTATGTTTACATCAAAATTTTGTACTGTAACCTGTATTGTACGGGAACCAATGCAATGAAAATAGCACTGATGTGATGTGCTCTCTCTTTCTGTACACAAAACCAGATGTATGGCAGTGTGCAGAATAGAATAAGCAGGTATAATACACTAAACCTAAAGGGAAAATCCAGAGAAGGTATAACAAGCAGGTATAATCCACTAAACCTAGAGGGTAAAGCCAAAAAATGCATAACAAGCAGGTATAATCCACTAAACCTAAAGGGAAAATCCAGGGCATGTATAACAGGCAGGTATAATCCACTAAACCTAAAGGGTAAAGCCAGAAAATGTATAACAAGCAGGTATAATCCACTAATCCTAGAGGGTAAAACCAGAGAAGGTATAGCAAGCAGGTATAATCCATTAAACCTAAAGGGTAAAGCCAGAGAAGGTATAACAAGCAGGTATAATCCACTAAACCTAAAGGGGAAATCCAGAGCAGGTATAACAAGCAGGTATAATCCACTAAACCTAGAGGGTAAAACCAGAAAACGTATAACAAGCAGGTATAATCCACTAAACCCAGAAAATGTATAATAAGCAGGTATAATCCACTAAACCTAAAGGGAAAATCCAGAGAATGTATAACAAGCAGGTATAATCCACTAAATCTAGAGGGTAAAGCCAGAAAATGTATAACAAGCAGGTATAATCCACTAAACAAGCAGGTCCTTTCACCTGAACATGTTAGAGCTAGAGAACAGAATGAGCAGGCATATTCTACTAAACAAAGATGGTGAACCCTATTCTACTAAACAAAGATGGTGAACCCTATTCTACTAAACTAAGATGGTGAACCCTATTCTACTAAACAAAGATGGTGCACCCTATTCTATTAAACAAAGATGGTGAACTCTATTCTACTAAACAAAGATGGTGAACCCTATTCTACTAAACAAAGATGGTAACCCTATTCTACTAAACAAAGATGAAACAAAGATGGTGAACCCTATTCTACTAAACAAAGACGGTGAACCCTATTCTACTAAACAAAGATGGTGAACCCTATTCTACTAAACTAAGATGGTGAACCCTAAGTGTAGAATACAGCAGGCCCCATAAAATCCATTCTGAGACCAAGAGGGTAATCCTAGAATGTATAATACAGCAGGCCCCATTAAATCCATTCTGAGACCAAGAGGGTAATCCAAGAATGCATAATACAGCATGCCCCATTAAATCCATTCTTGGACCAAGAGGGTAATCATAGAATGTATAATACAGCAGGCCCCATTCAATCCATTCTCGGAACAAGAGGGTAATCCTAGAATGTATAATACGGCAGGCCCCATTAAATCCATTCCGAGACCAAGAGGGTAATCCTAGAATGTATAATACAGCAGGCCCCATTCAATCCATTCTCAGACCAAGAGGGTAATCCTAGAATGTATAATACCGCAGGCCCCATTAAATCCATTCTCAGACCAAGAGGGTAATCCTAGAATGTATAATACAGCAGGCCCCATTAAATCCATTCTCAGTAAAAGTGTCTAAAGCTAACCAGAAATATTTCAGTTTTTGATCCCAATCCTTCTTCCTTCAAATTATCCCTGCTCTAACAAATGCCTAGTAATGATCTTGTACATATACAGAACATCTACATGAAAGCTGACAACTACGTCTGTCTGCTGATATATCAACCCTTTGGTTAAATAAGCTGAATTTATCGTGTCATACTTACATGTTAGTGTGAACTTTGTTCCTCCCTTGGCGACTAAGTGATATTTGATGTGTGTTAGTTTCTCCTCTTTGGAATACACACACACCTGCATTGTGTATTGACTGGGTAAAACAAAGCTATAAGTTTGAGTCATGTTTGCTTCAAAGTTATCCTCCTTCCTTAACTCATGAAAATCTGCATCATTGTTCCAAACATACAGGAAGGAGGTGGAATCAGCCAGGTGTCCTGTCTTGTTGAACATCTTGGCCATGAAGTCTATTCTTGAATCCAGTACTACTGGACCGGTGTTCTTTATTTCCAACCGATATTCATCTGGGAAGAAAATATATAACGATGAACCATAAGACAACATTGGTTGCATATAATTGTTATATACATTGTATCAGGAATTTATAGAGGAAACTGGCATACGGGCTGAAGGAGTATTGTCAATCAAGGACCCCTGTCCCCCTGCACTGTGTTTTTTGTATATATACATTATAGTTTCGGATACAGCTGCAGTAGCACAGTCACATGACAGTTCCACTTACCTGGTAGCTCAGTGGGATACAAACATAGTATCCTTTCAATGCAAACATAGTATCCTTTCAATGATAATATTTTGTTTATACCATCTTTATCATTTTTCATAAAAGCCCCACAGGTACATAATATGTATATAGTTACAGTGTTTGCAGCGGTATGGGAGTCCTTCAGCTATACATATATCTGACACAAAAATTGTATGTCCCTTAGAAATGGTACGATCAATGCAGGAATATGAATCAAAGAAAAAGTGAAAAAATGTACATTTGTTAGATTTTGATAAAAAAGCATATCATGTAAGCAACGTTTTGTAGGTACAATATCATACATTAATGCATCAACATATCTTTGTTTATCTACTTAATAAACCATATATGTAGTAGACATTGATCTATGTACATAATGACCATCTCTGTGAATCCATCTACAGTGGATGTAGTTCTATTTGAAGATCAGGTCACACAGCCATATATCTGTTATAAAAAGATGTAGCCAGAGTTTCTTCTGGCCCTGACACCAATGCAGACTTTGACAGTTGACAAACAGATGTCTGGTGCATTGACAGTTTGACAGACAGATGTCTGGTTGGTGCATTGACAGTTTGACAAACATCTACATGTATCTGTCTAAATCTGCATGGTATCAGAGCCAGAGGAAACTCAGACTTAGAATGATGCAAAAATGTTCAGCAGTAGAATAAATTGGAGGTGAGGTGATCGATGTGGGCTTTGTAGATGAAGAAGGGGAAAGAAAAAAAGGGGTCCCCCATATTATATACTTGCACCTCAATGTTTAGGGCTTAAACTTAGACATTTGACCAGACATCTATAAGGGCAAGAGGCAACTCGGGCTAGGAGAGACCTTGCACTGGCAGAAAACTAAGTAAATGATTTTTTCCCATTCGTATAGTGTGTATTTAAAGAGAAAATGGCAGATCTTGATCCCTGTACATTCTATTTCTAGGTAGGCCTAGTCGTACCTGATATCTCACGGACTTCCACTTCGGGTCCCTTCGGCAAGAAATCTGTGTTTATCCTCTTGCCCCGTATCCCAACATAACTTTTGTTGCACCCGGGGATTCTAGTGTAAGCTCCTTCAGGGTGTGAAAAACTGACAAGGAAATAAACGATGAAAACGTACAACTTCATCTCCGTTAGAGCTTGCCTACATATTTTGAACAGTTTTGAACAGTTTTGAACGTATACGTATCTCAAAGCCTACGATGAAATTCCTTTATCGACACATGTGATTTCGCATATAAGCAAAATGCAAGTACACAGTTACAATCAACTTGTGACGGTCTCCGAGTTGCACAACAGAACAGTGCTCAAACAAGTCACATGCTTTTGTTTCACAAATAGGTCAAATGTCAATCTTTATGAATGGCCGACTTGTAAACAAAACCTCGTGACAAAGATACACAACGTACTCACAACAAGTCATAGGTTTGATTCATTGTAGGAGACACCGTTGTAACCGCAGGGGCTGGACACATTAATAGAAATATGAGATGAGGCATACAGTTATAGTTAATTTGACGATCAAAGATCATCCCTGAAATACCCTGCAGGTCGCTGTGGCGGGTATGAGTTGTCTTTCTTTGAACACTGAATCAAACTCGAAACCATGGTGTGTGTGTGAGTGTGTGTGTGTGTGGGGGGGGGATTGGATTAATGTTGCTTTGGAAACACAAATATTTACATCTGCCTGACCATAGAATCAAAAGCCAAATATTACCTGTATATATGTGTATAATTATGTCAATGCATCAANGGGGGGGTCATTTTGATTGTATTTTAAAAAATGTATACATTTTTTTATGTTTCCAGTTTTTTGTTTCTATAACTAGATTTTACACATGTCTATGACAGTCATCAGTCAACCGTTTTTCTACTAATATGAGTATGTAATCGCGGAAACCTATAACGAGGATACCTATATATAATAGTACTATCTCATCTCATATTACTATTTAATAAGTGTGTCCAGCACCCGTGGTTGTAAGCGTTGATTCCCTTCTGGAGATGATTCTAAACGTAACCAATCGGCTTCCGGTTGTGTTTGGAGGCATTTTCAGTGGACATACCATGTACAATACTATACCTATACTACTAGTGAACTTTGATATAGGTTGTGAAAAAATGCTTCTAAACCTTACCATTTATAGTCTCTTAATTGTTATGTCCTCTGCATGGTTGTTCTTGTTTTTACTTAAGAATTAGGAAGCTTTCTTTGAAATTATCTCTCCCATTTACCAAACTGAAAGCTTGCACCATGTCTGACCTAAATGTAAGTCTCCTTATAACTAGTGGGTAGCCCTAGAGTCTCTCTGGATATGTTAGGTGATACCAGGAACCAGTTTAGTGTCCCTCCTCTGGACATTTTCGATATTTATTTGATACTTTTAAGTTTTTAAGCCCAGACTACTACAGAGGTCTCAGAAGTTTCATTGTGAGCATCAGTGATTGTCTCAGTATCACTTGGGTCTTCTCCCTAACCCATTGCCCCGTTATCTGCTATTATCCGTGGGAACTTCTCCCTGGCCAATTGTCCCGTTATCTGCTATTATCCATTGGATCCTCTCCCTAACCCATTGCACCGTTATCTGCTATTATCCGTGGGATCATCTCCCTGACCCATTGCCCTGTTATCTGCTATTATCCATTGGATCCTTTCTCTAACCTATTGCCCCATTATCTGCTATTATCCGTGGGATCATCTCCCTGACCCATTGCCCCGTCATCTGCTATTATCCATTGGATCCTCTCCCTAACCCATTGCACCGTTATCTGCTATTATCCGTGGGATCATCTCCCTGACCCATTGCCCCGTCATCTGCTTTTATCCATTGGATCCTCTCCCTAACCCGTTGCCTTGTTATCTGCTATTATCCATTGGATCCTTTCTCTAACCTATTGCCCCATTATCTGCTATTATCCGTGGGATCATCTCCCTGGCCAATTGTCCCGTTATCTGCTATTATCCGTGGGATCATCTCCCTGACCCATTGCCCCGTTATCTGCTATTATCCGTGGAATCATCTCCCTGACCCTTTGTCTCGTTATCTGCTATTATCCGTGGGATCTTCTCCCTGACCCATTGCCCCTTTATCTGCTATAAGTATCCATTGGATCATCTCCCTCACCCATTGCCCCTTTAACTGCTATTAGTATCCATTGGATCCTCTCCCTAACCCATTGCCCCGTTATCTGCTATTATCCGTGGGATCTTCTACCTAACCCATTGCTCCGTTATCTGCTTTTATCCGTGGGACCATCTCCCTGACCCATTGCCCCTTTAACTGCTATTATCCGTGGGATCATCTCCCTAACCCATTGCCCCGTTATCTGCTTTTATCCACATTATCTTCTCCCTGACCCATTGCCCCTTTATCTGCTATAAGTATCCATTGGATCATCTCCCTCACCCATTGCCCCTTTAACTGCTATTATCCACAGGATCTTCTCCCTGACCCATTGCCCCTTTATCTGCTATTAGTATCCATTGGATCCTCTCCCTACCCCATTGCCCCGTTATCTGCTATTATCCATTGGATCCTCTCCCTAATCCATTGCCCCTTTATCTGCTATTATCCGTGGGATCTTCTCCCTAACCCATTGCCCCGTTATCTGCTATTATCCGTGGGATCTTCTCCCTGACCCATTGCCCCTTTATCTTCTATTAGTATCCATTGAATCCTCTCCCTGATCCATTGTCCCGTTATCTGCTATTATCCCTGACCCATTGCCCCGTTATCTGCTAGTCCATTGCCCTGTTATCTGCTACTATCCGTGGGATCATCTCCCTGACCCACTGCCCCATTATCTGCTATTATCAGTGATTATCCGTGGGATCATCTCCCTGACCTCCTCTCCCTCACCCATTGCCCCTTTAACTGCTTTTATCCGTGGGATCATCTCCCTGACCCATTGCCCCGTTATCTGCTATTATCCGTTTGATCTTCTCCCTGATCCATTGCCCCGTTATCTGCTAGTCCATTGCCCTGTTATCTGCTACTATCCGTGGGATCATCTCCCTGACCCTTTGCCCCGTTATCTGCTATTAGTATCCATTGAATCCTCTCGCTAACCCATTGCCCTGGTATCTGCTATTATCCATTGGATCCTCTCCCTCACCCATTGCCCCTTTAACTGCTTTTATCCGTGGGATCATCTCCCTGACCCACTGCCCCATTATCTGCTATTATCAGTGATTATCCGTGGGATCATCTCCCTGACCTCCTCTCCCTCACCCATTGCCCCTTTAACTGCTTTTATCCGTGGGATCATCTCCCTGACCCTTTGCCCCGTTATCTGCTATTATTATCCATTGGATCCTCTCCCTCACCCATTGCCCCTTTAACTGCTATTATCCACAGGATCTTCTCCCTCCCCCATTGCCCCTTTATCTGCTATTAGTATCCATTGAACCCTCTCCCTATCCCATTGCCCTGTTATCTGCTACTATCCGTGGGATCATCTCCCTAACCCATTGCCCCCTTGACTGCTATTAGTATCCATTGGATCCTCTACCTAACCCATTGCCCCTTTATCTGCTATTAGTATCCATTGAATCCTCTCCCTAACCCATTGCCCTGTTATCTGCTATTATCCATTGGATCCTTTCTCTTACCTATTGCCCCATTATCTGCTATTATCAGTGGGACCATCTCCCTGACCCATTGCCCCTTTAACTGCTATTATCTATTGCCCCATTATCTGCTATTATCCGTGGGATCATCTCCCTAACCAATTGCCCCGTTATCTGCTATTGTCCAATGAATCATCTCCCTAACTCTTTGTCTCGTTATCTGCTATGGGATCATCTCCCTGAACCATTGCACTATCTGCTATTAGTATCCATTGAATCCTCTCCCTACCTAACCCATTGCCCCGCTATCTGCTTTTATCCACATTATCTTCTCCCTGACCCGTTGCCCCTTTATCTGCTATTATCCGTGGGATTATCTCCCTAACCCATTGTCCTGTTATCTGCTATTATCCGTGGGACCATCTCCCTGACCCATCGCCCCTTTAACTGCTATTATCTATTGCCCCATTATCTGCTATTATCAGTGGGACCATCTCCCTGACACATTGCCCCTTTAACTGCTATTATCTATTGCCCCATTATCTGCTATTATCCGTGGGATCTTCTCCCTGACCAATTGCCCCGTTATCTGCTATTGTCCAATGAATAATCTCCCTAACCCGTTGTCTCGTTATCTGCTATTATCCCTGGGATCATCTCCCTGAACCATTGCACTATCTGCTATTAGTATCCATTGAACCCTCTCCCTATCCCATTGCCCTGTTATCTGCTGTTATCCATTGGATCCTCTCCCTAATCCATTGCCTCTTTATCTACTATTATCCGTGGGATCTTCTCCCTGACCAATTGCCCCGTTATCTGCTATTGTCCAATGAATCATCTCCCTAACCCTTTGCCCCGTTATCTGCTATTATCGGTGGGACCATCTCCCTGACCCATCGCCCCTTTAACTGCTATTATCCACAGGATCTTCTCCCTAACCCATTGCCCTGTTATCTGCTTTTATCCACGGGATCTTCTCCCTGACCCATTGCCCCGTTATCTGCTATTATCCATTGGATCCTCTCCCTAATCCATTGCCCCTTTATCTGCTGTTATCCATTGGATCCTCTCCCTAAACCATTGCCCCGTTATCTGCTATTATCCGTGGGATCATCTCCCTGACCCACTGCCCCATTATCTGCTATTATCCGTGGGATCATCTCCCTGACCCATTGCCCCGTTATCTGCTATTATTCGTGGGATACTCTCCCTAACCCATTGCCCCGTTATCTGCTAGTATTCGTGGGATCATCTCCCTGACCCATTGGCCCGTTATCAGCTATTATCCGTGGGATCATCTCCCTGACCCATTGCCCCGTTATCTGCTATTATCCGTGGAATCATCTCCCTGACCCTTTGTCTCGTTATCTGCTATTATCCGTAGGATCTTCTCCCTGACCCATTGCCTCGTTATCTGCTATTATCCGTGGGATCTTCTCCCTGACCAATTGCCCCGTTATCTGCTATTATCCGTGGGATCATCTCCCTAACCCATTGCCCCGTTATCTGTTATTATCCATTGGATCCTCTCCCTGACCCATTGCCCCGTTATCTGCTATTAGTATCCATGGGATCCTCTCCCTAACCCATTGCCCCGTTATCTGCTATTATCCGTGGGATCATCTCCCTGACCCATTGCCCCTTTAACTGCTATTATCCACAGGATCTTCTCCCTTACCCATTGCCCTGTTATCTGCTTTTATCCACGGGATCCTCTCCCTGACCCATTGCCCCTTTATCTGCTATTAGTATCCATTGAATCCTCTCACTAACCCATTGCCCTGTTATCTGCTGTTATCCATTGGATCCTCTCCCTAACCCATTGCCTCGTTATCTGCTATTATCCGTGGGATCATCTCCCTGACCCACTGCCCCGTTATCTGCTATTATCCGTGGGATCATCTCCCTAACCCATTGCCCCGTTATCTGCTATTATTCGTGGGATACTCTCCCTAACCCATTGCCCCGTTATCTGCTAGTATTCGTGGGATCATCTCCCTGACCCATTGCCCCGTTATCTGCTATTATCCGTGGAATCATCTCCCTGACCCTTTGTCTCGGTATCTGCTATTATCCGTGGGATCTTCTCCCTGACCCATTGCCCCGTTATCTGCTATTATCCGTGGAATCATCTCCCTGACCCTTTGTCTCGGTATCTGCTATTATCCGTGGGATCTTCTCCCTGACCAATTGCCCCGTTATCTGCTATTATCTGTGGGATCATCTCCCTAACCCATTGCCGCGTTATCTGTTATTATCCATTGGATCCTCTCCCTGACCCATTGCCCCGTTATCTGCTATTATCCGTGAAATCATCTCCCTGACCCTTTGTCTCGTTATCTGCTATTATCCGTGGGATCTTCTCCCTGACCCGTTGCCCCTTTATCTGCTATTAGTATCCATTGGATCCTCTCCCGAACCCATTGTCCCTTTAACTGCTATTAGTATCCATTGGATCCTCTCCCTAACCCATTGCCCCTTTATCTGCTATTGTCCAATGGATCATCTCCCTAACCCATTGCCCCGTTATCTGCTATTATCTGTGGGATCATCTCCCTGACCCATTGCCCCGTTATCTGCTATTGTCCAATGAATCATCTCCCTAACCCTTTGTCTCGTTATCTGCTATTATCCTTGGGATCATCTCCCTGACCCATTGCCCCGTTATCTGCTATTATTCGTGGGATCCTTTCCCTAACCCATTGCCCCGTTATCTGCTATTATTCGTGGGATCCTTTCCCTAACCCATTGCCCCGTTATCTGCTATTATCCGTGGGATTATCTCCCTAACCCATTGACCCTTTATCTGCTATTAGTATCCATTGGATCCTCTCCCTAACCCATTGCCCCTTTATCTGCTATTGTCCAATTGATCATCTCCCTAACCCATTGCCCCGTTATCTGCTTTTATCCGTGGGATTATCTCCCTAACCCATTGACCCTTTACCTGCTATTAGTATCCATTGGATCCTCTCCCTAACCCATTTCCCCGTTATCTGCTATTATCCGTGGGATTATCTCCCTAACCCATTGACCCTTTATCTGCTATTAGTATCCATTGGATCCTCTCCCTAACCCATTGCCCCGTTATCTGCTATTATCCGTGGGATCATCTCCCTAACCCACTGCCCCATTATCTGCTATTATCCGTGGGATCATCTCCCTGACCCATTAAAAAAGTACTGCCCTATCATCCGCTGTTGCCGTTATTCTTTTTCCTTATTTTGTCCCATTGTTCTGTTGTTGGTTCCCTCAATAGTATTACCCCTCAGTGGAAAAGGAGGGGTCCGAGACAGGTCCCCGGGGGTACTGCACTGACAACTTGGGTTTCCTGAAATGATGTTCCTTCTACCATGACCCGCCGACTGTACGAGTTCCATTCTATCACCATACACGTCAACGGTACGAGTTACATTCTATCACCATACACGTCAGCAAGCAAATAAAAAACGGATTGAAATTGTATCCGTTTGAGTTTCTTTAAGCGACGACACACATACAGGTTTCAATGATTTCTGGGCGATACTCTCGTAGAAGATCGGAGAGGTCTTAGCTAAAATATACCATCAAAGGATAATATACCATCATACGGCTCAACCTCTCTATCTTGCAATGCTATTTTCTTTTCCGTCTAATTTTCAATTTTGCCAAACAGTTCCAGAGAAGTATCAGCCCTTTTTGAACAGACATTCAAGTTCCTCCTTTATGTTATTGCTGATGTTGTGAAGACCACTTTCCAGCCGTGAAATAAGTTTATTTGATTTCTGTAAGATACCTAAATGACTGTTCGCGTTTTGTAATTTTAGGTTCTCTCATTGCCAATTTGTTGTGTTCTCTTCGACATATAATATAAAAAATATGATTGCCTTGTACTAGTGATATTTCAAACCAAATGTATTTACAATCTGTGCAGATGTTTAGGAAGAGTAGAATTTTTAAAAGAAAAGAATACAAATGTCTAATTGAGACCCCCTGCCTCAGTCCCCGACCCACCACCGTGCCATGCCATTTCTCTTATTTTTCCATTACTGAGCCCCCCGAGTTCAATAAGATGGGCCCAAGAATGCTCCTAATCAGAATCTCCTAAGTCGTTCTTGATAATGTCACCAGCTCACTTAGATCTTCAGGCAATGTGAATTTTGGTTCAAATACCTTCACCCATATTTAGGATCCATCATGCTTAAGGGGACACATCCTTGTTTATACAACAAGGCTACACCCTTTGTTTATACAATATTAAGTCCTCCTGGCACGGTGATGCTTCAGCAATGAAATTAGGTCCTACTTTTGTCCAAGGATGGAGTTTATTCCCAGTTGCTCAATGAAGTTTCAGATCTAATTCTATATAGCATATTAAGTAAGACCTTTCTACATTTGTGTTTGAGAAAGATGTTTCACTGGAAATGTGTATTTTCATATTTGAAGTCAAAAGTCTAATAGTAGAGGTCACTGTGTCGCCATACACAGTATGTACATATCATGACATAGGTGTAACAGTCCAGAAATTGAAAACAGCGATTCAGACACTAGGTATGCACCTAAAAACCAATATTTCTGCATCTGTGACAAGGGTCAAGGTCAGAAGAGGTCGGAATGATTGTTTTTGGTACACAACACAGCTCATTCTCATGATGTACCTACAAACAAGTATTTCAGTACTTCTAGTGAAGGTCAAAGGTGAAACAAAGATCGTATTAACCCTAAGATTACACAGCATCTTCTCACCTCTTATCTACATACCATGTCTGCTGCCCGTACATAAAACAGTGGCCAAGGTATGGCTTGACACACCTAAATTTAGTATTTGCGGTCAAGATCAAATATAAGTCACAGTGACCTTATTTTGGTACATGCAGTGTGACTTTTCATGATGTATCTACAAACAAAGTCTGCTGTAGAAATGAACAGTGCTTCCAGATATGGCCCAGAACCTTGTACATCTGTAAATGGTATTAGGTTCACAGGTCAAATTAAGATTGCAGTGATGCTTTTTTAGTAAACAACACTGAACTTTTTCATGACTATCTACAAACCAAGTCTAAAGCCCATAACGCACAGTGGTCGAGATACAGCACATAAATGTGTATCTATTTTGGTACTTGACATTAAGGTTAAAAGTCTGTGAGCAGGAGTATAAACAGCAAATATTATATAAGAGTTAAAAATAAGTCCAATTTCGATTTTTTCAAAATCATTATCTAAATATAAAAAAAATTGGTGAGGATCTGAGGAACATTTTTGCAATGTTAGGCCTGTAGTATTACCAGATTAGCCAGGTTCTCTATATGGAAAAAGTTGTGAAATAACAATGCTAACAAAATAAACATTTAGTGCTTACCAATGAAGCATTTATTTAGACATTTATTTATTGTTTTGATTAATTAAACATTTCAATCACATACATAAATGTGCTAGTCATTAAATATTATACCTGTGGCTTATTTTCTGAACAATAACAACCACACAGATACGCAAGTAGCCCCAGCAGTATACAAATCTCCCTGAAGTGTCAGTATCTTCGTACATTATCCCGTAACACACAGAGGCTTCTAAAGTGTTCCTCAGAGAGTAGCTACTGCTGTACAGAGGGATAATCAAGGGAGTGAACTCTGACAGGTGTATAGGACATGACTTTATCATAAACATCCCATTGGAGTTTTGTAAATGTAAAATTAACTAAAAACATGTATATTATTCAGAATATTAGTATAACACGTGAACATTAATCAGAAGCTTCGTATAACATATGTGTACATTAATCAGAAGCTTCGTATAACATATGTGTACATTAATCAGAAGCTTCGTATAACATATGTGTACATTAATCAGAAGCTGCGTATAACATATGTGTACATTAATCAGAGGCTACCACATTATTCAGAAGCTAATTATAACACAAGATAACAGCATTTAAAAAAATGGTCAAACTGAATGACATAAAAAGGACATGTAGAAAGTCTTTAAACAACAATATCAACATATGTAATAAATAAAATGAAAATATATGAATCATATTCTACAACCAAGATATTGTCTCCTCTTAATTCAGGATCTAATTACAGTACCTTAATGTCCCTGTACTACATAACGTCACAAGATACATTGATATCTGGACTAAATGATCAGAACATCTACACATCACATGACCAGCAGATCAACATATCACATGATCAGGAGATCAACACATCACATGATCAGCAGATCTACACATCACATGTGTACATGACATCACAAGATACACAGCTGCTGTCTGGACTAAGTCACAGTGTACATGACATGACAAGATACACTGCTGTCTGGACTAATTCACAGAGTACATGACGTAACAAAATACACTGCTGTCTGGACTAAATCTCAGTGAACATGACATCACAAAATACACTGCTGTCTGGACTAAATCACAGTGTACATGACATCACAAGATACACTGCTGTCTGTACTAAATCTCAGTGAACATGACATCACAAAATACACTGCTGTCTGGACTAAATCTCAGTGAACATGACGTCACAAAATACACTGCTGTCTGGACTAATTCACAGAGTACATGACGTCACAAGATACACTGCTGTCTGTACTAAATCTCAGTGAACATGACATCACAAAATACACTGCTGTCTGGACTAAATCACAGAGTACATGACATCACAAGATACACTGCTGTCTGTACTAAATCTCAATGAAAATGACATCACAAGATACGCTGCTGTCTGTACTAAATCACAGAGTACATGATGTCACAAGATATACTGCTGTCTGTACTAATTCACAGAGTACATGACGTCACAAGATATACTGCTGTGGTTCTATTATAACAAAATTACATTACATTATAATCCAGCACTGTTTTGTTTGATGTAATGTTTCTGAAAGCCTGTCTGTACACTGGAAGTGCATTAACTTCTTCTTGATACATGTATTATCATTCAGATAAAGTCAACATCAATTTACTCACAACCAGTCTTAAAAACATTCTTCATTTTTCACTAATACTAAATACAGTATAAACATTCTTCAAAGTTTTACACAACAGCATATACACATGGTCAATCAATAAGTACTACTTCATAACTATCACAATCACAACTCATCAGTCTGTACATGGTAACAGTAATCTTGTCTGGTGAGGAAAATGTGTAACATTTCTTATATAGTTATATACGAGTTCAAACGTTCGTTAAAAATAATAAAAGATTCTGAGGTCAATAGTTTTTCTTCTCAAATTCTCTTTCTTTCCTCTCCTCTGTGTTCAAATATGTATTTTTTGATAAATGTGTTTTTTTTGTCATGTAATTTGTGTAATGAAATGTGTTGGAGAAGGCGTTACTAAGGTGGGAAAAAATGTACCCGATCCTTTCTGTTGTATGACAAATAAAATATATAAACTTTAAATCAAACAGTTAACTTTCCGCTTGGCAACTGAGCTCATCCGTAAGTAGAAAAACAAAACAATTATGTTGTAAGCTTGCAGAACATTCAGACGATTTTCCTTAACTATAATGCAATAGTATGACAAAAAATAGAAACAGTTAATTATGAATTGAAGAAGTTGAAATTGTATTGTGTTTAAAATATTTTATTTGCTGGGAAAATAATAATGCGATATGAAGTCAGTGAGACAAAGAATAACTTACCGTATTGATCAGGATACCTGATACTTCTGAATGCTGATATGTCAGGACAAACACTGGACTATAAAGGAGGGACGACGTTTGGATCATTAAAACATTGTTAAGGAAATTCAAAAGGAAACTTTTTTCATGTTGTAATGTAAAATAAATATCCCATGGAAACAGGAAAATATCACAAAGTTAAGGATAACATAGCAGACTGAATGCCATTATCATTCATTAATTTAAGCAGTCTAGTTTGATTAAGGAAGCTGAACAACATAGGTCAATGACAAAAAAACAGTTCTTCAATCTAAAACAATACAGCAGGAATCATGTTTAGACAAATTGACCAAAAACAACTAAAACACTGAAAGTTCAGGAAGGGCTCTGTGGTGTGGGACGAACAGTGGCCATCTTTGGATCCTGGTTTTACAGCGTTATTAATGTAGGATATCCCAAAAGTACCACATGCACCAAGTACCACTTACAATCAAAATAAATACTGGCAAGTCGGAGAGTGCAATAAAATGTAGTTTTGGCAGTACAATAATTCTTTTCAATTTTCAGCAAATGCTTTCAATTCATTAGAGCTCAGATATCTACCGAGAATTTATAGCACAGACTATGGTTTCTGGATACTACTACATATTTTCAAGCAGCATATGATCAACTTATCTAAACATCATATAATCAACTTATCTAAACATCATATAATCAACTTATCTAAACATCATATAATCAGCAAATCTGCCCAGCACATGATCACCATACTTACACATCACATGATCACCATACTTACACATCACATGATCAGCACACTTACACATCACATGATCAGCACACTTACACAGCAAATGATCACCATACTTACACATCACATGATCAACACACTTACACATCACATGATCAGCAGATCATCACATCATATGATCAGCAGATCTACACATCATATGATCAGCAGATCAACACATCACATGATCAGCAGATCAACACATCACATGATCAGAACATCTACACATCACATGACCAGCAGATCAACATATCACATGATCAGCAGCTCAACATATCACATAATCAGCAGATCAACACATCACATGATCAGAAGATCTACACATCACATGATCAGAAAATCTACACATCACATAATCAGCAGACCAACACATCACATAATCAGCAAATCAACACATCCCATAATCAGCATACTTACATATCACATGATTTGTTCAAAATATGTAACAAGCATTCACTCAACAATAAATATTTCGAGTTATTATAGATCACATTGACTAGACTTATATTCCAGTCTACATAAGTGTTAGAAAAGTACTCATTATGCTCAGTTCACACGCTTCCACATTATGTATCTTTAGCAAGTATTTACACAATATAATACCTCAGAGTTCTTGTTAGTCCTCTGTCAACCAAACATAGACATCGATAAAATGTTCATTATGCTCGAAGTTCTGTTTTTATTCCTGGTTTTCACATCATAACAAGCTGTAACAAGCATTTACACACTATAAGTCCTCAGATTGACTGCTCACATGTCCCTGACCTACACCAGACCAAATCCCTCGGTTTGTTCTATGGCCTGTTGGAGTTTATGTAGCATCACCTCCTTTTTACTGTATGTAGGAAGGTCAAGCACATTGAAGCATGTGTGTGCCACAGGAAGGTGGTTCTCTACTCCCAGCATTGGCTGGATAATCATTTTGATTGACCTCATTCCAAGAATAGGGATTCTATCGCTGCCTGTCAGATACACTGTAATACAAGTCATACCATGTGTAACAAATCATGCTGCCCCTCAGAGACACTGTAAAACAAGTCATACAGTGTATAACAAATCATGCTGCCCCTCAGATACACTCTAAAACAAGTCATACCATGTGTAACAAATCATGCTGCCCCTCATGATCAGATACACTGTAAAACAAGTCATACCATGTATAGCAAATCATGCTGCCTGTCAGATACACTGTAATACAAGTCATTCAATGGATAACAAATCATGCTGCCCGTCAGATACACTGTAAAACAAGTCATACCATGTGTAACAAATCATGCTTCGCCTCAGATACACTGTAAAACAAGTCATACAATGTATAACAAATCATGCTGCCTGTCAGATACACTGTACAACAAGTCATATAATGTATAACAAATCATGCTGCCCCTCAGATACACTCTAAAACAAGTCATACCATGTGTAACAAATCATGCTGCCCCTCATGATCAGATACACTGTAAAACAAGTCATACCATGTATAGCAAATCATGCTGCCTGTCAGATACACTGTAATACAAGTCATACCATGTGTAACAAATCATGCTGCCCCTCATGATCAGATACACTGTAAAACAAGTCATACCATGTACAACAAATCATGCTGCCTGTCAGATACACTGTAATACAAGTCATTCAATGGATAACAAATCATGCTGCCCGTCAGATACACTGTAAAACAAGTCATACAATGTATAAAAAATCATGCTGCCCCTCAGATACACTGTAAAACAAGTCACACCATGTATAACAAATCATGCTGCCTGTCAGATACACTGGAATACAAGTCATACAATGGATAACAAATCATGCTGCCCTTCAGATACACTGTAAAACAAGTCATACAATGTATAACAAATCACGCTGCCCCTCAGATACACTGTAAAACAAGTCATACCATGTATAGCAAATCATGCTGCCTGTCAGATACACTGTAATACAAGTCATTCAATGGATAACAAATCATGCTGCCCGTCAGATACACTGTAATACAAGTCATACAATGGATAACAAATCATGCTGCCCGTCAGATACACTGTAAAACAAGTCATACCATGTGTAACCAATCATGCTGCCCCTCAGATACACTGTAAAACAGGTCATACCATGTATAACAAATCATTCTGCCCCTCAGATACACTGTAAAACAAGTCATACAGTGTATAACAAATCATGCTGCCCCTCAGATACACTCTAAAACAAGTCATACCATGTGTAACAAATCATGCTGCCCCTCATGATCAGATACACTGTAAAACAAGTCATACCATGTATAACAAATCATGCTGCCCGTCAGATACACTGTACAACAAGTCATACCATGTATAACAAATCATTCTGCCCCTCAGAAAACTGTAAAACAAGTCATACCATGTATAACAAATCATGCTGCCTGCAAGATACACTGTAATACAAGTCATACAATGGATAACAAATCATGCTGCCCTTCAGATACACTGTAAAACAAGTCATACAATGTATAACAAATCACGCTGCCCCTCAGATACACTGTAAAACAAGTCATACAATGTATAACAAATCATGCTGCCTGTCAGATACACTGTAATACAAGTCATACCATGTGTAACAAATCATGCTGCCCCTCAGATACACTGTACAACAAGTCATACCATGTATAACAAATCATTCTGCCCCTCAGAAAACTGTAAAACAAGTCATACCATGTATAACAAATCATGCTGCCTGTCAGATACACTGTAATACAAGTCATACAATGGATAACAAATCATGCTGCCCGTCAGATACACTGTAAAACAAGTCATACCATGTATAACAAATCATTCTGCCCCCCAGATACACTGTAAAACAAGTCATACAATGGATAACAAATCATGCTGCCCGTCAGATACAATGTAAAACAAGTCATACAATGTATAACAAATAATGCTGCCCCTCAGATACACTGTAAAACAAGTCATACAATGGATAACAAATCATGCTGCCCCTCAGATACACTGGAAAACAAGTCATACCATGTATAACAAATCATGCTGCCTGTCAGATACACTGTAAAACAAGTCATCCAATGGATAACAAATCATGCTGCCCGTCAGATACACTTTAAAACAAGTCATACAATGTATAACAAATCATGCTGCCCCTCAGATACACTGCAAAACAAGTCATACAATGTATAACAAAATCATGCTGCCCCTCAGATACACTGTAAAAGTTTCAGTATTAGATACTTTCACTGACACCTCCTTTTCAGTTCTAGTGATAGATACTTACACTGACAGCTACTTTTTAGTTCTAGTGATAGATACTTACACTGACACCTACTTTTCAGTTCTAGTGATAGATACTTTCACTGACACCTACTTTTCAGTTCTAGTGTTAGATACTTACACTGACACCACTTTTCAGTTCTAGTGATAGATACTTTCACTGACACCTACTTTTCAGTTCTAGTGTAAGATACTTACACTGACACCTCCTTTTCAGTTCTAGTGTTAGATTCTTACACTGACACCTACTTTTCAGTTCTAGTGATAGAAACTTACACTGACACCTACTTTTCAGTTCTAGTGATAGATACTTTCACTGACACCTACTTTTCAGTTCTAGTGTTAGATACTTACACTGACACCTACTTTTCAGTTCTAGTGTTAGATACTTACACTGACACCTACTTTTCAGTTCTAGTGTTAGATACTTACACTGACACCTACTTTTCAGTTCTAGTGTTAGATACTTACACTGACACCTACTTTTCAGTTCTAGTGTTAGATACTTACACTGACACCTACTTTTCAGTTCTAGTGTTAGATACTTACACTGACACCTACTTTTCAGTTCTAGTGTTAGATACTTACACTGACACCTACTTTTCAGTTCTAGTGTTAGATACTTACACTGACACCTACTTTTCAGTTCTAGTGTTAGATACTTACACTGACACCTACTTTTCAGTTCTAGTGTTAGATACTTACACTGACACCTACTTTTCAGTTCTAGTGTTAGATACTTACACTGACACCTACTTTTCAGTTCTAGTGTTAGATACTTACACTGACACCTACTTTTCAGTTCTAGTGTTAGATACTTACACTGACACCTACTTTTCAGTTCTAGTGTTAGATACTTACACTGACACCTACTTTTCAGTTCTAGTGTTAGATACTTACACTGACACCTACTTTTCAGTTCTAGTGTTAGATACTTACACTGACACCTACTTTTCAGTTCTAGTGTTAGATACTTACACTGACACCTACTTTTCAGTTCTAGTGTTAGATACTTACACTGACACCTACTTTTCAGTTCTAGTGTTAGATACTTACACTGACACCTACTTTTCAGTTCTAGTGTTAGATACTTACACTGACACCTACTTTTCAGTTCTAGTGTTAGATACTTACACTGACACCTACTTTTCAGTTCTAGTGTTAGATACTTACACTGACACCTACTTTTCAGTTCTAGTGTTAGATACTTACACTGACACCTACTTTTCAGTTCTAGTGTTAGATACTTACACTGACACCTACTTTTCAGTTCTAGTGTTAGATACTTACACTGACACCTACTTTTCAGTTCTAGTGTTAGATACTTACACTGACACCTACTTTTCAGTTCTAGTGTTAGATACTTACACTGACACCTACTTTTCAGTTCTAGTGTTAGATACTTACACTGACACCTACTTTTCAGTTCTAGTGTTAGATACTTACACTGACACCTACTTTTCAGTTCTAGTGTTAGATACTTACACTGACACCTACTTTTCAGTTCTAGTGTTAGATACTTACACTGACACCTACTTTTCAGTTCTAGTGTTAGATACTTACACTGACACCTACTTTTCAGTTCTAGTGTTAGATACTTACACTGACACCTACTTTTCAGTTCTAGTGTTAGATACTTACACTGACACCTACTTTTCAGTTCTAGTGTTAGATACTTACACTGACACCTACTTTTCAGTTCTAGTGTTAGATACTTACACTGACACCTACTTTTCAGTTCTAGTGTTAGATACTTACACTGACACCTACTTTTCAGTTCTAGTGTTAGATACTTACACTGACACCTACTTTTCAGTTCTAGTGTTAGATACTTACACTGACACCTACTTTTCAGTTCTAGTGTTAGATACTTACACTGACACCTACTTTTCAGTTCTAGTGTTAGATACTTACACTGACACCTACTTTTCAGTTCTAGTGTTAGATACTTACACTGACACCTACTTTTCAGTTCTAGTGTTAGATACTTACACTGACACCTACTTTTCAGTTCTAGTGTTAGATACTTACACTGACACCTACTTTTCAGTTCTAGTGTTAGATACTTACACTGACACCTACTTTTCAGTTCTAGTGTTAGATACTTACACTGACACCTACTTTTCAGTTCTAGTGTTAGATACTTACACTGACACCTACTTTTCAGTTCTAGTGTTAGATACTTACACTGACACCTACTTTTCAGTTCTAGTGTTAGATACTTACACTGACACCTACTTTTCAGTTCTAGTGTTAGATACTTACACTGACACCTACTTTTCAGTTCTAGTGTTAGATACTTACACTGACACCTACTTTTCAGTTCTAGTGTTAGATACTTACACTGACACCTACTTTTCAGTTCTAGTGTTAGATACTTACACTGACACCTACTTTTCAGTTCTAGTGTTAGATACTTACACTGACACCTACTTTTCAGTTCTAGTGTTAGATACTTACACTGACACCTACTTTTCAGTTCTAGTGTTAGATACTTACACTGACACCTACTTTTCAGTTCTAGTGTTAGATACTTACACTGACACCTACTTTTCAGTTCTAGTGTTAGATACTTACACTGACACCTACTTTTCAGTTCTAGTGATAGATACTTACACTGACACCTACTTTTCAGTTCTAGTGATAGATACTTACACTGACACCTACTTTTCAGTTCTAGTATTAGATACTTACACTGACACCTACTTTTCAGTTCTAGTGTTAGATACTTACACTGACACCTACTTTTCAGTTCTAATTTGTTACAATTCAATCCAAATCTCCTTGAGTTACAGTGTGTCACTATAGTATAAAAACCTCCACGAGCTACCGTTTGTCATTATTGCATAGAAAACTCTAGAGCTCCAGTGTTTGATAATTAAAAAGAAACATGACTTTCAAGCTGTTGTGGTATAATATTAATAGAAACCTCCTTTTTGAGATTTTGTGTGTTATACTTACATAAAAACTTTTTCTTGAGCTCCAATGAAAGGTCGTGAAATATCTCCCAGAACAGTTTGATTGTCAAGTGATACCTATGGTAAACTCCTTTGTATTCTGTGTTCTATCAGAAAACAGAAAAATAGAAACAAATAGCACTTAGTTATTACTTCAAAGTATTTTATCAGTCAGCATCATAGGAACACACAATAATTGTATTTTTACTGAATCATGATATCTCTGTCACCCTGTAGGTACAACAGGTAGCATATGGAAGGAAACAATACTATGACATCCCAGAAACAATGAAATATGACATCACAATCAGCTTTCTACATGAGAGGTAATTTCAAACCTAACATTACGAGGATGGGAGAGGAATACCTAAGAGGATGTCAGAGACATCACTAAGGGTAGGATTCTTTACCCTGACCCAAGGCCTGAAGCTGCTTTAGATTAGACCAGCACTTCACCTCTTGGATTAAGATTTCTTCAACATACTGTCTTGGTAGGGGAATATTCTATTAATCATGGTATTTTATTGGCTGAGCTAGGAATTATAGCTTCAATGTCAACGTACTAACCTTTTCTAGCTCGTGGAAGTCGTAGTCCTCATTGCCTACTACCATGGCCTGGAGTTCTTGAGGATGGAACAGTTCCTTGAGAAAAGAAAAACATGCACATCATAAACAAGCAACATCTAGATTCCTTAGTGTCTACCTTAAATAATCTACAGAATCAAGATGTTGCTGCTCCATCTTTCTTATTATTTGTGTTGATGTTCTGTGATGAAGCTCTAGTGAATATCTATCGTAGATTCTTACTACACAATCCACTTACAACCCAAGACAACTAGGACATAGGCTCTCTCCTTCTATGTTTGAAGACACATTTTTTACAAACAAGTATTTTTTTCTTGAAAACAAAATCTAAACAGGGATCAATCTAGGTTTTAGGGTAATTAATCTACTCTTTTTCAGATTTGGGGCAAATTAAAATTTTGATACAAGGCTCTAGCGTCATGTAAGTAAAAAAAAATGTTTTGTCCGACATACCTGTGTGCAGTATATTTCAATTTATAAACGATTTTAAGTTTAGAATTTTTATTTGAATTATGTGAAGAAAAAGCATTTATGCAGTATTATGCATTTTTACTGTTGAACTTGAAATATTTTGAAGAAAAACCACCATTTTCTTGTTGAAATAGGGGAAAATTGTAGCACATAGGAGGAAGATCAAAGAACAGGGGAATTTTCTTCTGCAGGGGAAACTACCCATAAACATTAGTGAATCAAGTGTAGATTGATCCCTGCTGAGCCTCATCTTATTAGCCAACATGCATATTTGCTTAATACTTTTTGACCTTTGACCTAGAGGTCAAGGTCATGGTGACCTTAATATAGTGCCGTTCACACCTACTGTACATGGGTGATGCAGGTATTGATCAAGTTTTAACAAAATATCTCTAATAGTTTAAATTTACATCTCAGACAGGACTTCACTACAACTTTGAGACTGATTTGACCACTGACCTAGAGGTGAGGTTCATTATGACCTAAATGCAATGTCATGTACACCTTCCTTGGCAAAAGCAGGTTTCAGCTTCCTAGAATGTCTTAAACAGTTTGAAAGTTTACACTTATTTGACCTTTGACCTTGAAATGAAGTCCATATTGACCTAATCAGTGCATTTCACACCATACATAAGTACACTGTAATTGTCATCGTTTACAGTTTATAACTTGAGGTCAGGGTCATGGTGAACTAGTTACAGCACACTGTAATTGTCATCATTTACAGTTTATAACTTGAGGTCAGGGTCAGGGTGAACTAGTTACAGTACACTGTTATTGTCATCGTTTACAGTTTATAACTTGAGGTTAGGGTCATGGTGAACTAGTTACAGTACACTGTAATTGTCATTGTTTACAGTTTATAACTTGAGGTCAGGGTCAGGGTGAACTAGTTACAGCACACTTTTATTGTCATCGTTTACAGTTTATAACTTGAGGTCAGGGTCATGGTGAACTAGTTACAGCACACTGTAATTGTCATCGTTTACAGTTTATAACTTGAGGTCAGGGTCAGGGTGAACTTGTTACAGCACACTGTAAAACTCATCAGGGTACGTGATGATACAGGTATACTTAATTTTTAACAAGAGATCTTTTACAGTTATACTATTAAAAGAACCAGTAAATACATTGTTTCCCTTCATTCAAATGGGAACATCATTTTTATATGGTGGAACTAGTATAACATGTATGATATTTGGTAGTGGGAGATCCCTGGACAGAAATGACACTGTTTCAGCACCCACCTAAAGCCTGTGGGATTTGTTATCAGTTTATTTTACCTTGGTCAAATAATCCCAGAGATACGCTTGCACTAGAATGCATGTTAAATTCCTCTTGTCTAGAAGTGTCTACTTACCAAATCCTTGCCACATCTTTCCTTATGAAAGTCTGCAGTAAAAGTTTGGAACAGCTTGTCAACAGTCTCAAGTGAGTGAGAAGTTCCTTGCCTTTGTACTTACCACTGCACACCAATGGAGGCTAAATAAAAGGCTTGGAATGGTCAGACTACAGCCCAAACGAGAAGTTCCTACAGTCTATGTACCTACCATATCTTGGAATGGCCGTTCTACAGCCCAAACAAGAAGTTCCTACAGTCTATGAACCTACCATATCTTGGAATGGCCGTTCTACAGCCCAAACGAGAAGTTCCTACAGTCTATGTACCTACCATATCTTGGAATGGCCGTTCTACAGCCCAAAC